ATGTATGCTGAATATTGAAAATAAGGTCTTATACGAAGGCTCAGGAAACAAACAGAACTTGCCCTCAAGGGCTGTAGCAAAAACAGCATTCATCTGAACCACTCAAATGAGGACGCAGATATACCATATTTTTCAGAGTATAAGACGCACCTTTCCCCCCCTTAAAAGAGGGTGAAAATTTGGGTGCGTCTTATACATTGAATGTAGCTCCACCCACCCACCGTCCCCCACCCTTTGGCCTCTGCCTCCCCGCAATTTACCTCCTTGCAGCAAACGGGAAATGGGGCTTGCGGACGCTGCAATAGGCTATGGCAATCCCTGCAGCCTGAAACAGCTGATGATCAGGAGGCCCACACTGAAAATGAAAGTGAAACTTGCTGTTTGCTGCAGGAGGCATCCTGCAGCGCTGGCAGCAGAGTCGGACAGTGAGGAGGTTGGGGAGGGACATGGGCCAGTCCCGGACCACGAGTGATGCCGCAGTGGTCTTAAAAGGGTTGAAAAATGTTCGTAGGTCACTTTTTTCATTCCCATTGTTAACTTTGAATGAAACGTTGAACGAAATGGATTGCTGTGTAAGGCAAGGGGTAGCTGTAATCTGATGTGACTGCAGCTCCTGTGAATGCAAGACAGGATTGCAATTGGATTTTCACACACACACACACACACACACATCCCAAAAGCAAAGATGCGACCATCTAGAAGGGAGCGATTTTTATTGGTAATGAAATAAATACCTCATATACAAATACCTGATATCCAGCACGCCCGGAAACCAGAAAGTGTTTTTGGCCTGGAAAATGGCCTGTTTTCAGACCATATTTGGGCCATTTTCAGGCTAATTTGGGGGCATTTTCAACGAATGGCCTGAAAAGAGGCGGAAAAATGGCCTGAAAACTGCCCCCCAAATGTCCAAAACCAGGCCATTTTTGGCCCCAAACTATCTGAAAAACAGCCACAAAACAGCCTGAAAACAGCCCCCAAAATGCTCCCAAAACAGACATGGGCATGCTGGCCAGCTAGTTTCCGGCGTGTGCATATGCACACGCATTCTGATTTGGGCACTTGGTGCCAAAAAGGTTCACCATCGCTGATGAAAGAGGGGCACAATCAATTACAAGGGGAGGGAGGGGGAGAAGCGTTTTGCCCAATCCTGCAGAAAGCCCTGGGTATTTCCAATTTTCAGAACCATCAAATTCATTATTATTATTATTACTTTTTGCTGATTTAAGCAACCCTCCAAACCAGTATGGATTTCAGCATTCTTTTCACAGGTACCGGCACGGATAATTCGCCGTTGTGATCCAATTTGTAAATCAGCGGGGGCCACTAAATTGCGGCGTTAAAAAGAGAGAGAGAGAGGGA